GGCGCCTTCGACGTGCTCGACAGGGGGCTCGAGTTCGTGCAGTCGACGTGCGAGCGCGCGGCGCACCAGTTCCTGCGCGACGGCGACTGCGGGGGCGAGATCGCAAAGATCAAGGCCCGCCTCGCCCAGACCGGAGGGCTGGCGTCGGCCGAGCTCGAGCGCAAGCTCAGGGAGGGGCCCTCGCCCGAGGACCTGGCGCTCCAGGAGGTGGCCACCAAGGGCCGCTCGTATCGCCTGCCCTCGATGCGGCGCGAGGCTGTCAAGAAGCCCGCGCTAGGGGCGGCCACGCCGACGCCGCCGGCCCTTTCCCCTTCCCCTTCCACTTCCCCTGCCCCTTCCCCTGCCCCCGCCCCTGCGCCGCTGGATATGGGCGGCAATCTCGCGGTGGACGAATCCGTCGAGGACGACGAGGAAGAGGTTATGCCAAAGCTAGTTTACAAGTCGACCAGGCGCATGATGAGAGGCGACGTGTACTGAACACCGAGCCGTCCGTCTCTTTCTTTTCTCACTTTTACGACTGGTTTATCGAATGACGGGGAAATACCAAAGCATTTGCCACATAGCCTTGATTATATCTTTTTTTTTTTTTTTTGATTTTTGCTGCTTTTACAGCCACCCTTGCACATTTGGCATCGAGCGTACTCTCTCGCGGTCCGTTTGCACACAACCCTTCGCATAATCACCTAGGTATCCTTCTATCTACCTCGACATGTCAAGTCCAATTGCCCGCCCTCACGCCGTCCTCCGTGGTTACATTGTCGCTTGACTGCGCCTCAGCTGCAAATCAAGCGCCAAGATTCAGCATCTAAAGGACGGCCCCATCTATCCACCTACATGGCCTTAGCTAGCAGGTGAACCCCATCCGCTCCCACAAGGCGCATTGACAGGGGTCTCTGGGCGCGCAAAAGCACTGTCTAGCATCTCTCTATGGCAACCAACTTGGTGGACTGGGATCCGACTCGCCCTTTGTACAGCCTCCAACACGTTAGAACCGTAGTCTTTATTATCAGATCATACCCCCCCAAAGCCAAGAACGCCATTCGCCGTTGCGCGGGGCTGGGTCGGCGTTAATGTTTCCAGGGGGAGGTGCAAAAAGTCCGAAGAGCTCGCACTTGGGTAGCCCTGGTGTCTTTTTTGCTCGTCGTGTCCACAGCTAGAGCGGGACCTGAAAGCGGGCGCCCAGCACGCAATTTCTGTCGCCCAAGCCGTTATGCTTGTCTGCCAATCCGGGCGGCCGCGTGCTCCCAAAATTGAGGTGCCTGAGATGGGGCCAGACACTTGGATGGGGGCGGCTTGGTTCTCGCCAAGCGCTGACATGCGAAGCTAATGGGCCAATTTCCCTCCCCTGACACGATCGGTGCCGTCTCGAGGTGCTATTTGATCGATCCCGGGCCCCGGCCGCCCTGCTCTGGCCAGCCCCGTCGCCCAAATTCTCCCGTCTGTTGACTGTGTCTGATGCGCCCAGCCAGCATCACCATCAGCCGCCCTGTTGCTTGTCGGTGCTTGTTCTACTCAAGGCTAGCTTTCCTGGCCTGTAAAGCCGGCCAGCGATCGACATCTCACCGGGCCCAAGGGATACGCATATAATTGGTCTGCCTCCTGCTCTTGTGAAACGGTAAGACAGGAATCCTTCACCAGCGGCCGAAACATCCAGTCATCAAAAACCCCTTGCTCCGCCCGCCTGGGGACGGACAGTTGGACAATATGGCGGCGCCACCACCACCACCACAACCACTACCACAGGGCTACGACGACAAGCAGGTGTGCTACGCCGAGCAGCACGACCTCGACATGTCAAAAAGCTCCGTCGGCCTGCACTCGGACGCGCCCGTTCCCGTATCCGTTCCCATCCCTGCATCAGCAGCAGCAGCAGTGGCGGCGGCGGCATCAGCAGCATCACCCTGGCCAAACAACTACCAGCAGCAGCAGCAGCAGCAGCAGCAGCAGCAGCAGCAGCAGCAGCAGCAGCAGCAGCAACAGCAGCAATACTCGCCGCCCCCACCGTCCAGCGCGATCCCAAACTACCCGACGGACCAGCACGGCGCCTACCCGGCGTCGGTGGCCCCCTCGACGGGCTGGTACTCGGGCTCCCCGCCGCCGCCGCCCTCGGCCATGTACGCGCCGACGCACGACGGGTTCGGGCCGCTGCCTCCTCCTCCTCCACCCCCGCATGAGACGGCTGCGCGGGGCGGCGGCGGCGGCGACAAGGACGGCCTGCGCATCCTGGGGCTGAGGCCCGCGACCTTCTTCCTCTCCATCGCCCTGGTCCTTGTCATCGTGGTCGCCGCCGTCGGCGGGGGCGTGGGGGGCTCGATGGCGGTCGAGAACGCCAAGAGGTGAGTCTAGAAGCGCGTGTTGGTGGGGGAAGAAAGCCCCTCCCCCTTGTTACCATTCTTTTCTTTTTTCTCGTTGACGCTAACGGGTAAGGAAAACCATCCAGGGCTGCCGCAGCCTCTGCGTTGTCGGGGAGCGGGACGCCATCGGCGGCGGTTGCCAGCACGGTGACGACGACAGTGTCGGTGCGCGCCACCGGCGGCGGCGCGTCGGCGGCAGAGACGACGCCCACGCCCACGCCCACGCCCACGCCCAACCGGACGGCCAAGATAGCGGTCCCACCCACGCAGGGCGTCATCGACTTCGACTGCACCAAGGTCCAGCCGACGCTCAACATCAACCTCGACAAGCGCTTCTCGTTCGAGACCCTGTGCGGCCAGGACCTGGTAGGGGCCGGCATCGACATCCTCGGCATAATCGTCTACAACCACGCGCACTGCGCACAGGCGTGCGCCTCGTACAACCGCAACCTCGGCCGCAACGAGTGCGTCGCCGTCTCGTTCCAGGCCGACCTGGCGGTCCTGTCCAACTTTGGAAACTGCTTCTTGAAGAACAGCACGGGCTCGGTGGACAGGAAGTCGAACACGCAGATTTCCTACAAGCTCAAGCTGGATGGGTAATGGAAGTGGCCGTTGAAAAAAGGAAATAATACATTTTATAATTCTCTCCATGGCGCAGTCTGGTTTTGATACCCTTCCTGTCAGTTGCGTCTGTCTTTGCTGTTTTATCAAATTGCATCTATAATCACGGGGACATGCTTCGCCAGCCATGTAACTGACCGGACAGATAGAATGGTCGCATTATCAGTGTCCCATGTCAGACGGGTACACTACGCGTGGTCCATGAATTAAGCTCCTCGGCAAGGCTAGCGACACAAAAGACGTCGAGCCTGGTCGCACAGGCTTTGGTGGGCAAAGAAAGGCGCACGCCAAGCCTGCTGTCACCGTATTTCGCATTCACCCAACTGGTTAGCGCCCTTTACGTTCCACAGGCGGACACTGCACCAATCCGCGCCTGGGGATCACTAGGCTAGGGTGTCTGTCTACTCTAAGCCACCCATCTAAAACACTGCTCTTTTTGGCGTCCATCGTATACGTCGTGTTCAACCCGCATGTGGCTGCCGAGGAGATCAGCACAGCGCAGCTCAACTATGATCATCATGATCCACCAAGGCAGTTTCCTATGGTCTGAGATGGGAGAGGAAGAATACCATCATGGCGCTCCTTGAGCTGCCCGAGGTCAAGCGATAGTCTCAGGCTTCTATAAAAGCCAACGTCCCTGCCATGTGCCCTCCCTCTTGCTCAACCACTCACTCCTCGGCCACCGCCAACCACCACGCCTCAACCTGACCCGTCTTCTCCTCTAGGGACTGACCTCGACAAGACCGGCGACCACTTGGCACCCACCAAGAAGCCCCCTCAATCCATGATGGCGCTCCTAGCCCTGCTCATGCTGCTCGCACAGCAGGCGGCCGCCGACCTCAGCTGCCGCCCCCAGGGCCCCATCGTCCCGCCGCCCCTGGACCTGGACGCCTCGCCCGCCTTCCGCCTCGCCGCGGACCGGCTCGCCCAGGCCCTCGACGGCGCCGTCAACGGGAGCATCCCGGCGGGCTGGGCGGCCGAGAACGGGTCCTTCTCGGTCGCGCTCGTGTCGGTCGGGCAGCGCGACCCCAAGGTCCCGCTGTGGGAGTACCACCACCTCGCGCGCGGCAACGTCAGGGGCACCAGGCGCCTGGACAGGGACTCGCAGTACCTGATCGGGTCCATATCCAAGGTCGTCACCGGCGCCGTCGTCATCCGGAGCGGCCTGCACGCCGACGACCCCGTCACAAAGTACCTGCCCCAGCTGAGCAGCCCTTCCTCGCCCATCTCGTGGGGTAACATCACGCTCGGGCACCTCGGGTCCCAGCTCTCTGGTATTCCGCCCAACTGTACGTCTTTTCTTTT